TCACCATGACCAAGCTTAGCCTCATACACTTGTTGCTGAACGGGGCACTTTTAGCCATGCCTTACAACTGGGGCAGCATTGCTTTTGCAGAGGTAGGTTAGATGACCAGGTCTCGTGATTCTCTCTCTTCGACTTTGCGATGATTTCCTTCAATGTTTTACACGCTTGCTTCTGAAGACCGAGCTTTTGCTACGCTGCCAGCTGAACCAACCGCATTTCTAGATCCAGGGGATACAGCCCACCAGCATCATACGAATCGGCCTTCATCGCGCTTGCATCGCGCTCAAAGAACACGAAGAATGCCTGAATATGAATGGCCTGAATAGAAGTGCGGGCGTCTCCATAGTGGATGGCGCGAACGAGATTTCGCTACGGGTCACGCGATACTTCGACGTGGTCACATTGATTAAAGTTGATAGCGTAGCAACCCTCTTGCTTGCAGCCTGTGGCTGGATCGTGATGCGGTTCCGTCTTCGTAGAGCGATGGGATGGTGGAGCCTGGCGACGATGGTACTTTGTTCCATTCCCGTCACTCTTAACGCTCTTGCAGTCTCTTCTTACCTCGCGGCGCTCAAAGGCATCCCCACAAGTAGGGGGAGTTGTCTGGGGAGCAGCGGTGTCATGATCATGGTAGGGTTGAGCTGTTCTATTATCGAGGTCATGATCGCTGTGGCAACTGTGCTATGTAATACCTCCAACTCCGCGGGTATTCATCACGACGACCAGGTCGAAGCCTTACATTTGGACTGCTCTGCGGAGAGAAATACCATCCTCCTCGACAAAAAGTCGGAACATAATGGCTGAACCGGAGGGGCAATCCAATACTAGGTCAACGATTCACCACGACCACGTCGCCATCGGTTTGGGGTATTCGGCAGAGGTGTACTGGAACAGTGAACGGTGTCGACTCAGCTGATGGGTACATGACGGCTGCCCAAAGCACTCGTTGATGCCTGAAGGCTTTGACTCTTGTATCTTTCGCTCCGATCTCGTAAACAGATCATGCCCTTTCTTCGCTGGCAAGCTAGAGGGCACCTGTCTCGTATAGCGCCATCTCTCGTATACATTGGTGTATCTGGGGACCAGGCCTGAATATATAATCGACTTTTTTTTACAGTCAATTATATCGCGCTGAACCTGGTAGTACAGCGTCCGGCTAGCAGAGAGACCTAATACTCAGCATTGTATGCCGTTCAAGGCCATCGATTCTAGTCTACATCAATCGTCATCTGTACGTCATAAACATGAGCCCAGAAGAAAAGAGAATGACAATTTCATTCCCAGAGCAGTAGCTACCAAGGGGGGTAAAAGGACAATAATCTCTCAACGCATAACGTCATTCTGGTGGGTCGATAGCTTCAAGTATCTACGGGCTTTTCTACGCATCGTCAACCTTTTAGTCAGATCTATACTCCGTTCCCTACCTTCGTCACGCCTGTCTTCTAACCCAGGCCGCTCTTCTGTAAGGCGACTACTGATATCTCATCACCCATGACATAACGTACGGCGATACGTCTTCTGAAGTTTCAAATGATTTGTGAAAGACAATGGCCACAGGTAAGTCCACCCCCACCGTGTCAGCGGCGAACCCGCAATAGCCACCTGAAGATGGATAATTATATAAGGACACAGACTGCGCTCCTAGTCTGTTATTTTGCTGGCAATGAAGTGGCTCCCTTTCGCTTCGATCAGTACTTTTGCTACTTTTATAGTTACACATGTTTTGGCAGAGGGCTTCGAGGAGGAGTGTTGGAGGGGTCCTGCGATGAGACTCGGCGGCATGGAATACTTCGAGACTCCTGACGATGCAGCCGCATGTCCTGAGGCACACATCTACTTTCTAGGCTCCCAGAGGGAAGTCCTTCTATCCCAACAGGTGAATATTACAAACTCGTCTACCACTTGCTCTTCCAAGCTGTTGCAAGCCATTTCCTTGCCGGCAGGCCTTGAAGCCACCTACGCCAAGGTGACTTTCTTGTGCGGCAACGACGACGGTCCCAGCTGTCAGATGATCCGGCTTCTGCCACCAGATGCCTCGCATTCAGCTGCAAAACTGCCTTTGGCAATGACAAGAACATGTCTGGACTCGAGCCTCACGACGGCTACCTCCCCATTGGACGCTACTGGTACTGCAAGCGTTCCGTGGAACGGCACTTCACCCACGACCGTGGCCAGTCTTCCCACTTCGATAAACGATGAGGGCCCCGTATCTCCCACTCCAGCCACGGAAATCCAATCAACGCCCCCATACTTCTATACTGGCACCGAAACAGATGGCATTGGACTTCCTTCGACGTGGCTAGGCTCAGACCCTGAGACCATCCGGCCAACGTCTATCACGACCGATATCTCTCTAACCCCTTCGGAGACGGCCGCAAGTCCCACTACATTGATAGACAACACCAGTAGTACCATAGGTCGTGTCCCTACCGGAAGTTCCTTGGAGGTTCCCCCCGGTGGCTTTAGTGAATTTCCCGGCGCGACAACTTTCATGACATTGACTGTTTCGAGCATCACTCCTGCGCCCAGATGCACGTGCAAAACGTCCTAGGTGCCATCACTGGCAATAGAAGGACAGTATCAAAGGCCAAGACTTGACTACGAGTCAGCTGAAAAGAGCATGGTACTCCACAAGACATCAGGCAACTCTACAAAATAGGCAAGCGTTCATGGACGGCATAATATGATTTCAAGTTGGTTTCTTCTTAGTGATGACCAGGATCGCTTGATCGCTTAGTGAATTGAAAAATAAACGCTTATCTGGATCCTTGAGACAAGAAATGTTGTGACGTGATTAACTACAACCTCCACTTTTCAGACTTTTGATCCTGTCACGTTCGTTAATAATAGAGGAAAGAAGAGAGTGAAAAGACCAGGGAAAGAGAGGAGGAACCAATCACCCTCAAGTGTGGGACTCCGACTTTCGGCTATAGCCACAAACGCGATGGACGAAAATGATGTATAGGGAGCGGCCTCCTACTCGCACCCGTGAAATTCTCAAAGTCGTCAAATGCAATCCGAGAGCCACCGACACTAGCTTGCTAGTTACGACGCGGTCGCCACACGCATCGTTGAGCTGGTGATGACACAAACATTGTGATAATGAGCCGTCATACGAACAAGCTGAGACATTGCTCTCATGTAGTTCAGCATCTCCAGGCGAATCAACTTTCTCGTCTTACGCCTGCGCATCTAAGCGACATTTCCCTGGTGCTACCAGTCCGGTAACGGCCTCCCCGGCTTGAGCGGCCGTTCATCGCCCGTTTCAACCGTGATCTCAACCTCTTTGGTAACGAGAATTGCGTTTGGCGCTGGGGTGGAACGCCTCCAAGATGAAGTTGATCTCTTTCTCGATCTTGTGCTTGCCGCGCAAGTGGCCATGAGGGGCCGGAGCGTAGCGATGCAACCTGCAACGATACCAATTG